AATCACTCGTACGCACAACTTAAGAACAAATCTGTGCGTACGAACGGTTCTTGCATGAGGCCCAATATTTTCTCTCTTAAAGTAACAAATCATCTAACCAAATAAAAACCTAGCATTCTTTGAAGAAATGCATACGGCCTTTGAGGTTTAAATTAAAAACATCTAATGCTCAGAAATAACAGATGTTTTACTGAAGGCCCTGTCACACTGTAACATTTTAGACAACTTATGAAAAGTTTTTATGTCTAAATTACTACTAAAAAAGTATTTATTTAATCAATTTATCATTACAGAATGTACACGCCTAAAATAGGCTTCCAGTTGATTTTTAAAATTTCATCTTCAAAGTAGATGTCTTTAAAATTTTCATAAGTTGGCACAAGTTGTCTAAAACTTTATAGTGTGACAGGGCCTTAAAAATCACAAAAGGAACCATGACCACACACATTGCAAAAACATGAGCAACATTTTGGTGCTTGGTATATGCATTGTGGTAATAACCACACAACATTTTAGCTGTAGCCATTTTTAAGCTAAGTTAGCTGTCACCTTCAATTATGTTTAGAAAATTTAGGAGTTCTACAGGACGAGTCAAGACTCAGAGCACCTTTTTATTTCAGAAACATAAGGGAAAATGGAATATCTGAATACCCCAGTAAGGTATAGGTGCTGAACTTAGACACTGTAACTACAAGAGATATTCCAAATCTGGTTATGGCAATCAGTTTCTGTGCAAAACCTCACCCCCAACCCAGACAGAGCAAAAACAGTTTTCTAAAGAAATTGTACAGGAGCACATAACGAGATGAATTTACTGGCAGGGCTTCTTGTTGTGGTTTCAGTTGCTGTGGGTGGAGATGCCTCCAGCTCTGACGGAGCTGATGATGGGTGATGACAGTGGGTGGTGGCCCGGTCTGATCGGCTTTGCTGAAACAGGAAGACAAATAAAATGCTCAATGAATGAAGATGTTTTACTGCCAGAATATGTTTTGTGATATTTCAGTTACGAAATAAAACATTCTGATAAAAGCATTATTATATTTGTTTTTTCTTAGGTTAGAGGAAATATGTCTAAACTTGTGATGAAAATTTACAGTTGCTGAAAAGCAAAAACCAAGAGCACAAATCAAAAAGAAAAAATTAGTAGGTCCTCTGGATGGGTTCTTCTTTAGTGAAACGTTTCGTCTCTCCTCCAAGAGACTTCTTCAGTCTGATGAGTTTCAGGTGAACTCAGCCTTATAAGCACTGCCTCTTTTCCCTCTTTGTGTTGTATCGTTGGGGCCCTGATTCACACCTTCAGCTCACAGGGGGCTGAGTCATACTTGCAATAACAGCATTGTAGGAGGAGGACAACTGGACAGGAAGGCCTCCACCTCTGTTTAACCGTCCACCATTAAACAGAGGTGAGGCCTCTGTGTCCAGTTGTCCTCCTCCTACAATGCTGTTATTGCAAGTATGACTCAGCCCCCTGTGAGCTGAAGGTGTGAATCAGGGCCCCAATGATACAACACAAAGAGGGAAAAGAGGCAGTGCTTATAAGGCTGAGTTCACCTGAAACTCATCAGACTGAAGAAGTCTCTTGGAGGAGAGACGAAACGTTTCACTAAAGAAGAACCCATCCAGAGGACCTACTTATTTTTTCTTTTTGATTTTTTTCTACCTGGATTATTGAGATGCATCAGGACTAGGGCTGCCACAAACGATTATTTTTATAATCAATTAATCATCGATTATTTTTTCGATTACTCGACTAATCAGATCATGCGTTAATTGAATATAAAACATAGAGCTTATTGTGCCAGAATGCAGCTGCTATTATATAACCATGGTTAGATTTTAGCGGTATGCTAACAAAAAAATAATTGCTGTGGAAGACAAGTTCTGCCTTGCAGATATTACACAGGTTTCTCTTTCATTTTCTTAAAATGATCCCACACTTTTGAGCTCCGTTGCTGGGTAGCCATGATACCAGAGCCTGTCTGTATAATGTCTTGTGACGTCCACGGCCTACCCCAGTTACCACTACTGTGCATGTGTGTCAAGGACAGAAAGGCAGATGTGGCAGTGGAAGGTGTCAAAGCAGTTTGGAGAGAAAAACAAAGTAAGTAAAGAACAAAAAAAAGAAAACGATTAATTGATTATTAAATTAGTCATTGATTATTTTAATAATCGTGGCGGCCCTAATCAGGACCAAGAGCAAAAAGTTTTTTCCCTTGCCTTATGAGCATTGTGTGTAGTAAGTTTTAATGCAACTTCTTATTTGGCCTCTAGAGGGGGCACACACACAAGGCGACAAAGCAAACAGTATCATTGTTCATTATGTGGTATATTTGTATGTGTAATTTCTTCATGATTATTTTCCTCTCTCTTTGAGAAACATTAAAGCTTTTTGTCTGTTATTAACTGTCAAACCAAATGTATAAACTTTCAGTAAATAAAGAAAAGAGGACCCTCACCGATCTGTGCCGAGTATCCCCTTCGGGCCATGTTCTTGGCTCGGACAGCTTCTTTGATGCGGTCCACCTCCTGCTGGTAACGTTTACGATCCCTCATTGCGTTCTCCTTGGCCTCCTTCAGGGCGTTCTCCAAACATTTGACTCGCTCAGCTGTGGCTCGGAGACGTTTCTCCAGCTTCGGCAGCTCACAGCGAAGGTCTGCGTTGTCTCGCACCAGCTGAGAGATGCAAGTGTGACTTTATATTACTTTATATGTTGACTCGAATACATATCACAGCTGAGTGTTGTCGTTTATACTTCACTTTAGTCTGTAATTATGAGTCATTCCCTGATAAGATTACTTTAATGAGTTCAGATAAAGAGTAAAAATGTAACTTACAGAACTGACATGTTTATGATTATCGGTGTCACAATACTGATCAATATCAGGCCAGATACCAGCATTTTTACAAGTTCTCGTACAAAATGCCCCAATACTCAGGAATGATACCAATACCAGTATGTGTTACAGTTTACATTTCAAGTGAAAAGTATGGGGTGCCGTTCGTAAAGTTACACTGTTAAAAATTACCAGAAATAGGTTAGGTTAATTGATAACTCTAAATTGTCCCTAGGTGTGAGTGAGAGAGTGAATGGTTGTTTGTCTCGTTTGTCTCTATATGTGGCCCTGTGATG